GTCTAGGCTTACCCAATTTAATATATCTTATTGGTCTGTCCATACGAAATGGAGAGGGAAGCCATGGAAGAAAATCAAAGTCATACGTTATTAAAAACCTTCTGCTTCTGCTCTTGTTTTCCCAGTACAAGTTATAATATTATCTTAAACTTTTGTGGGAGATTGATATCTAAAGTTGACTTGCATGCTCATAATCCTATTATTGACGATGTGACTTTATTCATATGGATCTCTCCATCCTTTTGAGRACATAACAAATTCACTCTCTCTGGATCTCTCCATCCTTTTATTCATATGGGCTGAGTTTCAACCCAATGGCCCCCACAATGTAGGAGAGATAATAAAGAAAAGCTAGCCTTCTCTTCTAACTAGGCGCTCTCAATTGAAATGTTGAAGTTCTATCTAGTTGGATATGATATGATTGAAAGGAACTGGAGAAGTGAAAATGTATCAGCTATAGATAGTTCAGAGAGTTGTTATTGTGTTGAGGTGATTCAGCTAGGTCGATCAGCCGCGTAAAACTCTTGTTCGTAGACCTGTTTATTGTTTATGGCCGGGTTTAGGTTTAGCTTTTGTCAAAATTTGAATGGATTCACCCGAAACCTAAGTGTGAAGTAGTGGTTAGCTAAACCTTGTTCATAGGGCATTATTATTTGTTAAAACAGCCACTGATACAGCCATCAAGTGCAGCTTATCTAAGACTCCTCATGGCACAGATTAACTGAACTTGTTGGCAGTACTAAGGGCCGTGCAACCAAAAATAACAGCCCTTGTCAGCCATGCATGTGAACTGAAAAATTGACCTATGGTGGCCTTATACACTTTATGGCCTTCGTGGGTAGGGGAGTCAATTGGACTGGATTTGGTCCAATCCGATCCAGTCCAATATGAATTCATTATAAATGGACCAGGTTCAATCCAATCCAATGAATGCTTTAGGATAATTTGGACAAGTCCAATTCAATGTTTGAACTGTCCAATCTGTTCAAATTCATTTTGATTTATATTGATTTCAACCCAAATCTAATCCATTAACACATATATTGTTATCTTATATCAATGGATCAGATATTGGCTTAATCCAATCCAATCCAATATAAATTTGTTATCCAATCCAATCTAATAAATATTTTGAACTACATTGGTCCAATCTAATATGTCTTGTTGGTCCRTCCATAAATTAATTTTTAGACTGGACGAGGTGTAATCTAAAACCGGTTCATTGACACCCTTACTCGTGAGGCGTCCTTATTGGTAGCACAGCCCCTAAGACAGCTCCCAAGTTCAGATAATCCAGACTTCAGGTGAGTTGGTGACCTTATACACTTTATGGCCCTCGTGGGGCCTCATTATTGATAGCACAGCCCCCAAGTTCAGCCAATCCAGACTCTATGGCCCTCGTGGAGCGTCATTATTGGTTGCACAGCCCCTAAGACAGCCCCAACCCTTTTTAATTTTCTCTCTCTCTCTMTATATATTTTATTTTTTAATTTTTTGGCTTTTTTAAGCCAAGATACCTTGATCATTCAAACTTTCTTTTTTTCACTACAGTATAAAGCAAATTAACAACGGGATGCAGGATTTGAAATTCAAAATAGCAAAACTTTGGGAGTTTGGACTTTAGAGTGAGAATCTGGCGTGGAGTGAGCTCAGTGGGCTGAGGGCCCACGATGATGCCAAAACATTTGTCTTTGCCTGCCACTACTGTGTTGTTATTTTGCCTTGGCCTTTTTGCATCTTCCCTCAGTATCTTCTTCATTTTCTAAAACAGAATTATGTATTTTTCTTTTAAATGACAAAATTGCCCTTGCATGACATAGAATATGACTAAAAGAAGAGGACCCCCTTTTTTGTTATAAATAAAAGCTCAATTGTTGCAGTCAACTTGAATTAATGCAGGGTGTGTAATCAAAATATGGGTAAAAGATGGAAATGCTATGGGAAGAGTATAAATATAAGATCCACTCCTCTCTTGTTTGTTCTACAATTTGCATGTATACCAATGTTGTTTTAAGACTCAGTCCGGACCGGACGGTCAGACTCTTTCTAGGTCTCGGTTAAATAACGATTTTGGCAGATTGGACAGGCAAACCACCTGGTTAACTGACAAAACCGGGACCTAGAGAGCATTCCATTTTTTACTCCAGTCCGAGTCTTAAAACACTTATGATGTACAGGGTATTTATATCATTTAATGTAAGGTATAAAAGGGTGTTTTAGATGAAAAAGTGATTCTTTTAAGATGGACAGTGAATTGCAAAGGTGCCAACCGGCTGGTTAGTAAAGCCATGAAGTGGTGTTTGAAGCTATTTCAGTGGCTTCTTGGAAACAGTTCTACCAACATAGCCCTCCCAAACGGTCCCCTTAAGTTGCTGCTTTTAGTTTTGCAAGAAAGGACCCCAATTAGATAGTTCATAAGGCTGCATTTGTTTTTAGTATAAAACGTTATCGGTGTAAAACGCCATCTGTAGAGTTTTACATGGAACCATTTAAAATTAGAATTGAAATCTACTAACTACTGGCAACGTTCACCCAGCAACCGCACATCCAAAATATCGATATGAAGCACAATAGCTGTTCAGTGCAAAGCCCGGTCATCATAGCTTTGCATTGGGAATATCTCCCATTCTATAAAGACTGTTCAAACGGGCCTTGCACCTGACTGAAGCCCATCTCCATGAGAGGTACTAATCTCTGGAATCTAATTTTTCAATGTCAAATTTTTTCTGATAGAGTTTTTTATATTTTTGTTATATTTATTAATTTTGGAGGGAAGATTTAAAATTCTATATTTGCAATATTTATTCATTGTCAAGTTATTATTTTTAACGCTCAGTACAAATATAAATATGTACAGTGCAGATGCAGATGCATATAAAATAATACAAAATAAATCTAAATTCAAATCCATTCTATTTCATTTCAAAAGCAACCTTTTTTGGGGATGGGTTCGAACTGAACTTTTGTCAAAATTTGAATGGGCCTGGCCCTAAGACCCAGGTGCGAAGCACTGCAAAATGCTAACTCTGGCCAACCCGACTTGCACCCTTATTCAAGTTACACACTTGCACTTGGGCAATTTTTGATGCCTTGTCTTTATAATTTTCCTTGATCATGTACTTTTATTTTCATTTTAATTTGTACATAAAAATTACTTTTGTTGCAGGCCTTAATGCATAATGCGTAGTAGAGATTGGAGATTTTTTTTTGGTAGTTAGGTTAGATTGGAGATTGAATCTACTACTAACATTTGCCGCTAATATTGGCCACTAATTGAACCATCTATCCTTAAGGGTTGTGTTTGGTACAGGTTTTCTTGCATTTCCCTACCTTTTATTTCAAACCAAACATAGCCTAACATATTTTTACTTCCTATTTTTGAAATCCTAAGGCTGTGTTTGGTTACAGTGCAAATAAATTTGCACTGATGCAAAACTATGACAGTGCAAATGATTTAGGATGTGAATTCTGATTTATTTTTTATTTCAAAATTTACCTTATTTTGTTTGTTTGTAGTACAAATAAAGTTTAAAAAAAAAACGTGAAACAAAATGAAATAAAATCTAAAACAAAATTAAACCAGAATTTGCATTATTTTTATTTGCATTCCTCTCATACATTTGTATTAGTGCAAATAAGATCACATTCCAACCAAACGCAGCCTAAGTGAATCAAGCAACAATTCCTCTTCTTCATAGTCTTTCCTATAACTTTGTTGCCTATGCAAAGCATTTATATTATTTTGGGTACGAGGGGAGAGAGAGAGAGAGAGGCTTGTATCTAATATGCTCTCACTGGTTTCCTTTCCCAAATCCCAATACACGATCCCAACAGCCATTACATAGGGAACATCAAGGAAATGTTCCCAATGCTGCAGTTGCTGTTGGAACCAAATTCGAACTCCTATAGTTCCCCATAGCAGTAATGAGACATTGGATTAGCTGAATTTGATAGTTGTTTTACTGGCTGTTGTTGGACCAATCAATTATATATAAGCTATAGATACATATGACCCACAACACTCAATGTCTCACTTGCATTTATGACTGTTGTGGATCCCAATTCCACTCAATAATTATGCAAAAGCTAAACAACCCTAGTTCCAGTTGTATACTTAAAAAGTTAAAACACAAAAGATTCAATTAATTGCACATAATAAACTGCTTTAAAGGCAAAATAGATTTAATAAATGTCTCTTCCTACCATATTGACTTAAATATTTCGACGATAACTGATTAATTGCTCAAAATACGAAGGCATTATCTTTACCAAAAGAAGGGCATTATGGTCAATTGATCATTGAAACAGGAATTATCGCACTTTTAAGGACATTGATCACCTTAACATGTTTGAAAACCATACCCTTTGGGCCTAAAATATAAGCCTGGGCCCGAGCCCACACAGGCCTGGATCGGGTTGGACCAGTATGACTTTTTAAATAAAAATATTAAATATATAATATTTTATATTATATGATAATATATTGTAAATACAATTTATGTTATACTTTATATAATATAAAATAACACAGACAGAATACCAGTTTTTAAGTATTGGGCCCAGACCCGGCCCAAAATGATTACCCCCTGAACCCCCCACAGGCCCACACACACTAGACAAGAATTTATTTTCCTTTTTCTTTTGTCTTTTTTTTTTATTAAACAGTGGTCGCACGGTAAAAGCAAGCACTGGTTCCGATGCGTCGTCCTGATTGGCGTCATGCCGTTGGATCGTCTTGGAGTTCTCTCGGTGCACCTCCCGATAAGCATCGAAGAAGTGGGCCCCATAGAGGACGTGCGGCCCAAGATCATTCTAAAAATTTTACCTCTCCAACGGTCACCTACCCCAGAGACAAAAGGACTGGAAGGGTATTTCTGGTATATGGATAATATGGTCCGGACTGCGGACATACGGAGTGGTAATTACCGATATTTAGAACAAATGCAAGGGCATTTTAATGTCGGAGTAGGCGTTAAAAATTTGAAATTGTTGGCCGTTTGGAAGTTCAGAACTTCAAACTCCAAACCCACTTCAACGCAACTCAACAAAATAACGTCCTTGGATTTAAAATCTCTTTATCTCCTCTGTTAAACTCAGAAGAGAGAGAGAGAGAGATGACAGGGTTGGTTATGATTTCCAAGGGGCTTGGTTGCAGAGAAGGTGGTGGCAAAGGAGGAAGCAGAGGAGCTGAAGACCAAAACCAGCTCTCTCTCGTTGCGTTTCTCATAGCTACTATAAGGAAATCCATGGTCACTTGCCGTGTCGATCGACAGGAAGATGTCATCTCCGCTGTTCACAAGATGGAGATTGGGCTGCCAACCAATGTCCGYCACATCACTCATGTCACATTCGACCGATTTAACGGATTCCTCGGCCTTCCTGTTGAGTTCGAAGTCGAGATCCCCGGTCGAGTCCCTAGCGCCAGGTTTTTATTTGTCTCTCCTTTTCTCCTGGGTACTCTTGAAAATACAGAAATTTGATCTATGCATCTCTCCTAGAATGCAAGAACTGATGCTATTTCGTTGCAGACTTTTTGCCTTTATATAATTTGTGGATAAGAAAACTAGTGGTTTCGAAGCTCAAGGAAAGAAAAATTGACTGTTCAGATCACTGGGTTTTGATTATTTAATCACCAAGAAGTGCAATGTCTTCTGGTAATATTAGTAGCTCAAATCTTAATTGAAGCCTTCCTACTTACAGCTAGATGGATAAATGTTTATTCCTTGAACTGTTGAACAATGTTCTAAGAGATGTATTTTGAGGCCTCGATCTGAGAGATTCTAGTAAATGGAATCTAACAGTGCTTAAGGAGATATGAATTGGGTGTAACCTTTGAAGGAGCTGTTCATTGTAAAAAGAGACTCCCTTCAAAAGCTGTGTGACCTGTGAGGATCATTAGAAAGAAAAGACTATTAAAAAAAGGTAATTTGGGATAGTTGGTAAGATTATGTGGCCAAATTAGATAACCCACCTATACAGGAGCCAGGAAGGGCTCCATTTAATGTAGGAGTGATGCAGTTGTAATCTAAACTGTCCCGATACTTATAGACAAACTAAATAGGTTTTAACGCCATAAATACAACATTTAATGAGTATTAATTACTTAAACTGGCTTTTGCAGTTATGGTTTTTTCTTCTAGACAAACTAAATAGGTTTTAACGCCATAAATACAACATTAAATGAGTATTAATTACTTAAACTGGCTTTTGCAGTTCTGGTTTTTCTTCTATTCTATGCTTGCTTAAATGTTTTTCACCCTATTGTTATTAGAAATGATTCTTCTGCAGGAATTCTTGGTTAATAATGATTCTTCTGCAGTTTTTCACCCTATTGTTATTTATATTTCTCTCCATTTTACCAACTTTAGGTTTTTCTCTCCATTTTATTTATATTTCCTCTAGCTCTGCAAATTGAACTTGAAAAGATCTATTTGCATCTGAGTTATGAGTACAATAATGTTAACTGGTGGCTTTCTTTTACTGCAGTGCAAGTGTCTTTGGCGTCTCTGCAGAATCAATGCAGTGTTCCTACGACTCTAGGGGGAATAGTGTCCCTTCTATTTTATTGTTAATGCAAGAAAGGTTGTACTCACAAGGTGGTTTAAAGGTACAAACTCGTTCACCTTCACCGTCCGAGACTGATGTTAATGTATTAACTGCACCAAAAGTGTAGGTTGTCCCAAGTGCTAATTCAAATTCTCTTACCGATTCCTTTGAAATGGGTATGTAGGCAGAAGGAATATTCCGGATCAACCCTGAGAATAGTCAGGAGGAGCATGTTAGGGACCAGCTGAACAGGGGTATTGTGCCTGAAAACATTGATGTCCACTGTTTGGCAGGGTTGATTAAGGCTTGGTTTCGAGAACTTCCAGCAGGTGTATTGGATGAGCTTTCCCCTGAAGAAGTCCTCAACTGCAACACAGAAGAGGATTGTGTAGAACTTGTGAAGCAGCTCCCACCAACTCAAGCTGCATTGCTCAACTGGGTCATTGATCTTATGGCTGATGTTGTTGAGGAAGAAGAATCCAACAAGATGAATGCAAGAAACATTGCAATGATCTTTGCTCCAAATATGACTCAGGTAATTGACTAATTGACAGATTTAACACTTCCAGTGCAGTTCGCGCTATGCCCATCCATAGGTTCTGATGTAAACTAATCCTGCTAAATAYCAAAAAAAACTTCCTTTGTCCAGATGTCTGATCCATTGACAGCTTTGATGCATGCTGTTCAAGTCATGAACTTGCTCAAGACCCTGATTACAAAGACACTAAGGGAACGTGAAGAGACTGCAAAAGGGTATTCACCCTTTTCATCTCATTCATCAGATCTACAAACTGATGAGGACTACGACAGTCAGCAAGAGATGGACACAATCTGTGAATTGAAGGAACCAACTTCGGATTACGATGATCACACCCGTCATAGTGATAGCAGATGTGATGATTTTGTACATGACCAGCTAAATGAAATTGAAGAATGTTTCTTGAGGCAGTTTGATGAAAATGAAGAGCTCACAAGTGACGGCACCGAGAAATCGGCTAGAGAACCTAGGAGGGAGCATATCAGTCCAAGCGGCTGCTCTTGCCTCAACACACAATCTGATATTTTGTTTTCTGACAGTAAAAATGGGAGTTCAGGCTTGAGTACAAGTGATGCGGAAGACTCAGGAACAAGTGACATTTCTATGGGAGAAACAACCAGTGAACAGATCCCTCCAAAAGCATGTAAAAACAGTGGAGATATAGATAAGTGGATGGAGTTTCCACATGGATCTTCTTTGCCCTTACTTGTGTCTGGGGAATCCACTAACTGAAGTTTCATATTTGTTGTTGTCCAGCAGGTTTTGATTTCCTTTCTACAACAATTGCAACATCTGCAATTTTTTGCTGAATTGGCTTTTACTGGCAAGGTTGGAAGTGCCTTGTTTGTGGTGTGGATTGTTGTTGTTGTTGTTACTTGTTAGTTGGGGGGGGGGGTACCTTGTGTTCAGGCTCTACGCTGAACTTTGTGCTTGTATTGTATGTTTCAAACTTTCAGTGTCAAAGGATTTGTGATTTTCTAAGCGTTCATGATTTATTTATGCTCAGCAGTCAAATCCAACATCCATAAAATACAAAAATTGACTAGTGTATGGTAGAGTGCTTTTTTTTTTTGTCGCAAATGTAGCAGACGTGGTTCAGCACTAGGCCAGACCTAACCTCATTTGCAAAAGGAGAATAGAGAGTAGTTTACTTATGCAACTTTGAGAAATTCAGTTTTAACTTTGACTGAACTTTATTCTGCTTCAATAGGAATGGTTGATATTATCTTGGTAACATTTACAATTGAAAATAATTCATCTAGAAAGGAAATAGGAATATCATAAAAGAATACATGCCTGCCAAGGACTTTTTTGAACAGTAATGTGAATATATATGATAACATTTACAATTGAAAGTCAACTTGTTCCAGAAAAGAATGAGGAAATATCAATGAAGAAATACTTGGGCCAATGCATGCCCATATGAAACTCAGTCACAGTTTAACTGTGCCTCACATCATGCAGATAGACCCGTCTAGGCCAACACCAACTAGTGGGTTGATGTTGAGATGTTGATCCGTATGCCTTCTCCAAACCATATTTTACCTACTCTAAAAAATTTGAAGGGCTTTGATGGTTAAGTTCCTCTTGTGAAGGCAAGGCATGAATAATGCCAAATGCCACTACTCTGCAGTAGTTCATGCACCATATACCACCTTATGCTAGTGTGGGTAGTTCATGCACCATATAACTAAAACATCTTGCAGAAACATCTTGGTACAGTGTTTGCAGCAACATGGTTAAAATAGGGATATGCAGGTCTACTCGTATACACTTTATTATCTCCCAGGGCCAGGGGGACTTCTAGACATCCTGATCATTAGATTCGTCAAGCCAGACAAACCTGTCCAATTTCTATCATGTACAAGTATCTCTTCCAAAACCATTTCTGTTGCTTCCTACCAATAATCATTACAAGAACAAATTCCATCTCTGAAATGGTGGAACCTGATTCGATCACGAATCACTATTTCCCGGTTGCAGATCTTTGATATAAATTTGGTTGCAGTATGACAGTCAGTACAAATCTGAAGGTTCTTTACAATCCGGAAAGTACATCCAGGAACAGTGCTAATAAGGCCAAACCCAATTGCCAACTTCTCACTGTGATGCTCCAGTGCCTGCTCTTTCTCTTCTTCTTCTATATCATATAACACCACAGAAGTCTCTGCTGAATATCCATCCTCATACATCTTCCTACCCAGCTCCTCCAACTTCTCACAGATCGCTGTATATCTAGGATGAGACTTGTCACCAGAGATAAATTCATGGATCATGTTATCAACCTCAATGGAACTGCAACCAGGTACCTTTTCAATCCCTCTATCCTTCATGATCTTTCTTACTTTCTCAACATCCTTCCATCTCCCAACTGAAGCATATAAGTTAGACAGAAGCACATAGTCCCCACTGCTGCAACTTTCCATTTCTAGAAGAACCCTTTCACCCAATTTGACATCCTTGTGAAGTATACAACCACCCAGAAGAGATCTCCAAACAACCACGTCAGGTGTGATTGGCATAGTTCTTATAACCTCTTCTGCCTCCAATAGCAGCCCACCCCGTCCAAGAAGATCCACCAAACAAGCATAGTGCTCCAGTACTGGGGTAACCCCATACTCTTTTAAGGTGCAATAGAAATGCCTCCTGCCTTCCTCCACAAACCCTCCATGGCTGCAAGCCAAGAGGACTCCAACAAAGGTGACTTCATCTGGTCTACAAAGACCATCAGTCCTCATGTAGTCAAACATCTGCAAGGCTAGTTCAGCATGGCCATTCATGGCCAACCCATTGATCAAAGCATTCCAAGTACAAGAGTTCTTCTCGCCTAAACGCCAAAATACCTCAACACCCAATTCCACAACTCCACACTTGCAGTACATGTCAATCAGCGCAGAGCCCAAAAACGGGTCCAACCGAAACCGATTCTTGTTAATGAAAACATGGATCCACTTTCCAGCCTCCAAAGCTCCGAGACTCGCACAAGCCGATAGTGCAGTAGATATGGAAATTGAATTGGGTTTCAAGTTCTCAGTCAACAGACGACGGAACAATTGCAAGGCCTCAACTGGGTCCTGATTTTTCACATAACCAGAGATTATGGCATTCCAAGAAACCAAATCTCTCTCAGGCATCTCTTCAAAGACGTGTCTAGCGGCAAATATATCACCATTCCTGGACAATCCAACCACCAAGGCAGTCCAAGTAATGACATTCTGAGCAGGAGCCTGTTGAAAAAGCTGAAACGCTAAATCCATATTCCCCAATTCAGCATATCCATGAATCAACGAATTGAACGAAACAACGTCCCTACAAGGCATTTCGTCGAATAACTTTTGTGCATCAGCTATCCGACCACACTCTACGTAGCAATGAAGGCTTGCGTTCATAATATTACTGTAAGAACCAAATCCAAGCTTTAAAGCCATTAAATGGATTTGGGCAGTGTGGATAATTGACTTTGACCTGGAAGTGGCTTTAAGAAGGAACTGGAAGGTGAACTTGTTCCAGGCAAGATGGCCCATTTGGGTCGCGAAGAAAGCGATTGCATCGGTTGGTGCGGGCGAGTTTGCATACCCCAAGAGCACAGAATTGTACGAGTAGAGAGAACAATGTGGCAATAAATTTTGGAGGAGGAGTTGAGCATGGATTTGTTTGAGCTGTTTGGTAGTGGTGGAGGGAGACTGCAAGAGATCAACGAGTTTGCGTCTCTGGCTCCACAGTGAAATTGACATGTGTTTGGGTTGAAATGAAGAAGATGCATTACTTCGCATCTTCTTGTCTTCTCTCGCCCTCGCCCAACCCGAGTTCTTGTATGGGTTGGGTTGGGCTGGGCTTGACTTTTGTATGGGTTCGAATTCGATTCTATCAGCATGACAGCAAGTCAGCAACGGCATGGGTTTTTTTTATTGGATTTGAATATTATAGTTTTATTAATCCATTACAAAAATAATATTTTCTATTTTTATTAAGAAATTAATCTGATAATGACCAAAATACTTGCCACGGCTTCACGTCCATACCACCAAAATATTTTATATTTTGAGTTCGGATCTCCTTGTGCAAACAACAGAAAACTGTCCCTGCATCCATATCTACAGCACATCATAGGCGCCTATTGGGAATATCTCATTTATTATTCACGGGGAGATGTTACAAATACATGGATAAACGGTTGTACACATTTTCTACCTTGTTAGGGTTGTAGTAAGAGAGAGTGGATCCCCCCACCCCATATGCTCTATTTATGCTAGTATGGAGCATATATGGCATGGCAGCGGTTGAAATCAGATATTGAATAGTATAAATAAATTAAGGGAAAATTCTTAAATAGTATCATGTACTTTTAGGGGTTGTGTTAAGTCAGTCTCTGAACTTTAAAACGTGTTATTGTAGTATTTAAACTTCTAAAAATTGTCTAATAGGTTTTTACCATTAACCGATTGTCAATCAACACCGCCACACGATTTTAGGTGCGAATTAAATAATTTCAAAATGATAAAAGTATCCTTTATGATATTTTTCTAACCATTTTACCCTTTTCATTTGAGCGTCAAAAGAAAGGAAAAAAAAGGTTCTTTCTCTTCAAACTGGGTTGAATGAACGACAAGGAAGGCTCCCCTATTCAACAATCAACTACAACCGGCTATTGACAAAGAAGGTGGTAAGTTTATGTTGATTCCCTTTACGTATTGATGTCTTCTTCTCAATCCACAAGTGCCAGTCATGCTAGGTACCTTAAATACAAGCCAAAGGATTGTAAATGTGGTAAGAGGGTTGTGATTTAAGTTCCAGAAACAGATTATAATCCGAATAGGATATTTTATAGCTGCCCAATTAGTCTTGAAAGCAATTCCTAAATTTTCCCATAAATTAAACTAAAAATGATCAACATACTATCATGCTATATAGTATTAATAAAATGAACTAAAGATACGCTAACATCAAATGGATGTTTTTAACCAAAATGGGAACACATTTTTCATCAAAAATGTATTTTCCACTAACACGATTCAGGCTTGATTAAGTTGTTTCTCAACTTAAAGACAACCATAACTAGGGGTGTCAATTGGATTGGATTTAGTTCAATCCGATCCAGTCCAATGTGAGTGTTACAAATGGACCAGGTCCAATCCAATCCAATGAATATTTTGGACCATTTTAGATCAGTCTAATTCAATGTCTGGACTGTCTAACCTGTTCCAATTCGTTTTAACTTAGATTGGTTTCAACTCAAACCCAGTCCATTGACACCTATATTCTTATCTTACATCAATGGACTAGACATTGGCTTAATCCAACCCAATCCAATATAAATTTATTATGAATGGACTAGGTTCAATCCAATCTAATAAATATTTTGGACTGGATTGGTCCAACCCAATATGTTTTGTTGGTCCGTCCAATCCATTCAAATTGATTTTGGACTCCAGTCCAAAACCGGTCCATTAACACCCTTAACCATAAGCTCTAGGCAACAGTAACAGTTATAGAGGCATGTTTATATGGACTAATTTAGGGGTGATCATTCTCATCTCGACCTAGAAATTTCAGGCTTTTGAAAGAAAAGGTAGGAAAACTCTGTCATTTCCCTACCTTTTCTTTTACACCAAACACAACCTGAAATATAACATGGGTCAATACAGTATCGTGTCATGCCGAGCACAGCCTGCATCCCCGAGCTGAGCTGGGCTATGGGGCTTAAAGTCTACAGGTAGGGGTGCAAATGGATTGGATCATGCTTCGATCCTATTTGGTCAAAATCGGATCAACCCCTTATCCGATCTAAGATATATTATATATTTATAAATATAAGCATATATGYTATTTATTTATTTATAAAATACATGTATTTTTTGTTTTTACTTTATTTAAATTAGTACACTATTTTTTTAATAATTTATTATTTTTTAAAGAAAACAAGTCGGATTGGATCAGATCTGAAGATCCAACTTACCGATAGGATTCAAATTCAAATCGAGTCCTATCAGATCTGATCGGGTATTCGGATCRAATCGAATTCGAATATGCCCTGATTCAAATCCGATTCTATCCGTTTGCATCCCTATCTACAAGCTAACACATCTCATGTTGCAATTCAAGTCATTTGTAAATTTTCTTTTCTAATTCCATTCTAAATTTTTATTTTTCAATTTTATTACATTATTTCATTCCAATTTCATTACACCTATATTTGGAATGCCTTACAACTAATACATTTAAGGGGAATAGGCAATTCAGCTCTTCATTTGTTACTAATATTCTTATATCATCTAGTGGTTAAGGATTTTTATTTATCATCATATTTTCTAAAATATACATATACATGTATGTATGTATATATATGACTGTATGCACGAATGTATGTATATATCTTGTAAGAAGCAACTTGGGTTTTAATAGTTAAGAGCAAGAAAACACTGTCATGTTTGAACTTCAATAAGAGTGGTTATAGGCAAGGTTCCAAAATATCAACATTGTGGAGAGTATCAAAAAGACAATTTTAAAATATGAATTCTTGGTGAATATTAAATGCATGGAGACAACGGAATGATCAACCCATATAAATCCACAAATACATTAATAACGCAAAATTTAAAGTTCAAATGTCCATAAATAAGGACACCCCGGCTGGCAATGAAACTAAGACATCGCACCCATGCTTTCCACCCTCTATCTATCCCAATACTCTTATAATATATGTATTCCATGCATACATACATATATGTATGTATGTATGTATATATGTATGTATGTATTGCATTTCATATCAAGATGTCAATACAAGCATTTTTGACAAAAAACATGTTTAGTAGTATTTGTGCGATTAGGCATTGAACAAGTGTTTTGAGCAGTATCGTGTTTGGTATTTGCATTGTTACCTAAAAACTTTTAAGTGAAATGTTTATTCAATTCATAACACCCTAGCTCCTATGACGACTCTCATCCAATGCTCAAAATTAAAAATAAATGTCTTTTAGATAATTGGCTTGTTATTACGCATAGATTAATAGATGCAAGTTTAATGGTTCTAGAAGCATAAAACCAAGAAAATAATCTTTGTTTATACTAGGCCTGTCAACGATACCCGTAAACCTGCGACTCAATTCGATATCTGATCCGATAATCTCATATTTGGATGAGGTAAATGTCATATCGGATCGGATTCGGATGGCAGAAGTAGAATCCGACTAAAAATTGGATTGAACTCGGATTCACCCCATTTGACCCGATAAATTTATAAACATAAATCTATTTTGTATTATATGCTTTTTTACATTAATGGAATATATAAAACTTCTTAGGGGTAAATGAGGAAATATGTTCCTCAAGCCCTTAGTCGGTCAGCCCTAAAATCCTAAACCCTCATTTGACACTTCAACAATCGACATTTTCTTCTCACTTCTCCTCTTTTACTGTTGCCTATCTCACCTTGCCATTTGCTAGGTTGCTACCGTTCTCTCCTCTCTCAACTCTCACTCTCTACAACAACTAAGTCGTCGTTGCCGTTCTTTTCTCACCTACGTTTTCTTTTTGACCATAGAGTTCTCATGTACTGTTTTCTTCTTGACCATAAGTTTTCATTTATTCTATATAAATTATAGATTATTTCAAAATTTGTGAAATAAAAATTTAAATTTTACAGATTACAATATTGTTTCAAAATGTTTGAGTAAAAATTATTGATTATAGATTTTGTTTTAATGATATTACATTCAGCAATTGTGACCATTCAACTGCTGAAATAGATAGCTTCAGTCAGAATCAGATTAAAATCCGAAATTCAAAAAATCCAACCATGTCAAATCAAACTCGGATTTAGATGAATCCGATCCGATGGCATGCCTAGTTTCTAGGCTTCCATGTAGGATGCCAACTAATTAAGAGCTAGGTCATTGTATTGTGATGATGAAGGAGAAATCAATTATGACACTTGCCCCGACACCCCATGGTTACTTTTCCAGTAGAAATGTTCTATAATTGTTTTAACCCAAAATAGTCTCCACCAAAGAGAAATTTGACTTTTAAACCCAAAATGCCTAGGTGGTGTTAATGTGTAAGCCTTTCAAGTAGAAACAACCACTCCAAAAAAGATGAATGAGATCAATAACTGGACGACTCAATGAGGTTGTAGGAACCCAGTTTCTTCCAAAGACACCTATTAGAAAAACAAAGAATCCTAAGGTATATCCTTTAGGTGAAYTCTTTGATGCACCAAACAGCAAAAAAGGAGGCGAGGTGAAGGCTAAAGGAGGGTTATAGTATGCGTACCTCTATCTGGGGTGTCTTATCCATGGTTTTCAAAACCGGATTAGAATCGGATTTTTGCCAAAAAAATGTTGATTTGGTCAGTAAATTATTGATCTGAATGGTTGAACCGTTTGAACCATTCAACGGTTTTGACTGTTTTTATTTTTTGTCAGAGTGGGCCTTTCATTTGATTCTAATAGTTGAACCATTTGACCCAAGAACTGAACCCTTAACCAGTTCGTTTTTCAGATCAGTTTTAAAAACCTTGATCTTACCTATTTATAAAAGGGGGTGTTGTATTTGTTGAGGAGTTCTAATACTGTCGGGAGACTACTGGCTTATTGGGATCTTAAGCGCACTAGAGGTGTCTGAGTGAAGCCGATTGGTTGGTTTGGCGATCGGGCTAGCTAGTTTAGGTCATCGGCAAATTCTTTGAGCATTTTATTCAAGGAAACGTGGTGGCTTGAGATTGGGCTGCACAAATGGGCCTCATCAATTCCAAACATCACCTAAGCCGGTAGTTTAGCATATGGTGTTTAAATAATTAAAACAAAGTAATACCTTGAAACCTTCAATCACTTATTAGTAGATGGTTTAAATGGCTCAAAACATTCGGAACTATTTAACATCAATATTAATCCATCACAACATATTGTTGATTGGGTTAGAAGTTGGTGAAAATTGTGTAAACATGATTCTCAAGTTGATCATTTTATTGCCGTCACTCCATCAATCATTCTTTGGATCATTTGAAATGAGACATTAATTTAGAAGAGTTTTTGAAGACAATTGTTCCCCTCTAATGTGTCAATTGCTAAAGTGAAAAAATGGCTTATTGATGTTAATAATATTCAAAAAGCTCCCAAGTATGTCAGGACTCAGGAGTAACAACTACTTAATAAGTATTCCGGTAAAGGAGATTAGAAGGGGGATTCGATGGTTGCTTGAGAATTTTCTATGCTGTATCGCTTTATATCACTACTTAATAAGTATTTTGACAACTKTCAAAAGTGGGGTTTAATCTTTTTCAAGGGTGGGGTGAGGGTATTTTAAGAGACTGGTGTCAAAAAAATTTTCAAATACTCATTGAACATGCTTACAATATTGTGTCTACCTGATCCAAACTGAGTCGCGTGAATCTAAGCGATGGTGGAGGGGTTAGAGTTATTAGAGATGCTTCTTAATAGATACTTGAAGTTGGGCAATAATTGAAAGTTTTCACATATTCCTGTGAGTCGTCTTAGAAGGGTTTTTCATGAAGATTATGACGATTAATAAATTTGAAGGTGGCCACCCTTCCATCTAGAGTAAAGTTTGGGGCTAAAGAAAGTAATACCTTGAGAAAAATCATTTCCTAACCCTGCGTTTGGTTGAACTGCAAATCTGAACCAGATACAAACCTTCCAGTTCAGTTTTGCCTTTGTTTAATTTGATTTGTAATTATGATTTGCAGTCCTAGCTGATATAAAATTTGTAATTTTATCTTATTTGCATTCACTAGTGGTGTAAATTTTGCATCTCACATATAAAGTGGAGATCACATCACCTTGCTTCTTACCTTATTTCCAAACAAATAACCCCCCTACCTCCTTATCTTACATATAAGGTGGGATCGCACCATTTTACTTATTTTACTATTCACAGACAACCAAGATAAAGTCACACCTGAAGCAAAAATAAATCAGAATTTACATTCAGCTTATTTTGTACTCCCTTGCATATACACCTGTCCAAATGAATTTTGCACTGAAAATATGAAACCAAACCAGCCTAAATGTTTTATTTTATTATCAAAAAATAATTTTTATTTTATTTATTTTTTGGATAAAAAGAACCTGGAGATACAAGGAAATCAACAACAAAAAAGAGCAGCACCCATGCTAAGGGGCCCAGGCCCAGGCCCATTTGACCAACTGCAGGAGGAAATCGTGATTTTTTGAAAGGGTTTTTATTTATTCCTTAGAACTTTCCTCAACTTTCTATTTCTCTACAGACCAAATAGAGCCTCTCAAGGGAGGACACTTTTGTATATTGTTTTAATTTTTAAATGATACCTGACTAGATTTGTCTATAAAATATTTTATGTTGCTAATTGTCAAAAGTGTTTTAAAGCATCAACATAGAGGCAATATTATTTCATAAGCACATCTTTCCAACTGTGTGTAACCAATAATAACGCCGGCCCCACATCTGCCCCACAACCACTCAATCTCTCACTTCGCGTGTATGGTTATTTATTTGATATATAGAGAGAGTTTGAGAGAGAGAGAGAGTGAATCAGGTTTTTTAAAATCGAATATATCGAATGGTTTGACTATTTAAACTGAACAGATAGCTTATTTTGATAAAAAAATTAAAATTTTAAAATATAAAAAACAACTAAAATTATTGGACGGTTAGAACAATTCGACCGCCTGAATTAATGATTTTCTGATTAAATCAACAGTTTTTGACGAAATAATATTCTGGGATAAAACGAAATCAGTCACCTCCATTCCTAATTTTCCGGTCTGACCATCTGATCTGGTCCGGTTTTGAAAAGCATGAGAGAGAGAGGTTTTTCAGGCTTTCAGCTATATTTATTAACATTACACATCCTTCATTGATTCCCAGCTCTCTCTTATATCCCTCACTGATGAAACCAAATTATATATACCTCTCTAAGATCATCCTAGCTTATATTGAAGCTACTAATAAAATGTCTTCCCCAACATGGCCATTGGTTAATATATGGGGCTACCAAAACTGAACCCACCTGTCAGTTGAACCACCTCCCATGATGAGCACCAGACCAGAGTCTCCTTTCTTGTTTGCCTTCTGCTCCATTCTCCAAAACATTTATCATCATCTACATGGTGGCATCATGATACAGTTTGTGAGAGATCTGACATCAATTATTTCAATCACACAATTTTAGAAGAATGAAACGACAAATTTGAGAAGGATCTTTGCTAGAATTGGCACAAAAAAAATAAAAACCAAAGTTGATCAGACAAAGCCAATGCAAATGGGTCCATGTGTTTTCTCCTTTACTTTCATGTGGCTAACAGATAACATCACAATCTTTTAGACTTTTTAGTGTAGATGTTTCTGTCTGTTACAGAGAATAAAAAGAAGAACACCTTACAGCATACAGCCGACCGACTTTCATGGGGATGAATTAATGATCTGGGAACAGACCAGAATTGAGATATATATCTCTCTCTAGCTACCACAACCAGCCTTCCCCATGCATCCATGCGTCTAGCTAAAAGCAAAAAGATGTGATAACAACCCAGTCAGCTGCGACCTGCGAGCTTCTTTATGTTACTTAAAGCCATGGAATTAGCCAATTAGCAATGAATGACTGAAATAAAATAAAAATTAAAAAGTTAGGTGCCCATAAGATGTGCTTCTCTAATATAATCCAAACAGGGATGCAAGGAACCTTTTCTTCTTTAATTATTTTTTTTCTGTCATCTACAAAGATGGTAGCTAGGGTTCTTTTGATTTCTTTATTCTTGTTGTTTAAACTGCTACCAGATCCACAAAGAGAGATGCAAGTGCAAGAATCTCTGTTTTTTTTTTTTTTCCTTTTTTTGTTTGTTAATTTTCCTCCTTTTCATTTAAATATATGCAAGGAATCCAGCTTTATTTTTTTCTTCACTTGAAGCTTTAAACTACCAGATCCACAGCTCTTTGACGACCAAAATATTCTTCAATCTAAAGGAAGCTGGCTTGGACCATGGAAGGTGCAGGTATAAATTCGGGCAAAACCAAACCCAAAAAGACTCAAACTTTACCTCCACCATTATTCGGTCCCACCCCATGAACAGCAAGGCCATTGCGCCACTGTCGGAGATGGAGAAAACTGAAAAAAAAAATGGAGTAAATTAAAAAATTAAGGAGAAATAATCTTAGACAAACAAATGGAGAAGAGCTGAAATTTTTGTTGTTCTTTCCCAAGTTACAGTATTGATCTCAAAAAGCATAATCATTTGCATTCATATATACAATTGAAAGATTTAACAGAAGAGAATGAGAATTAAAGGATTTGCCAATCGGAAGATTAGAAGCAAGCCTCATCAGTCATGCTCCCATGAAGACATGCATACAACAGCTAGCTCTTATGCATGTCTTATCTTAATTAATTATCATCAGGAAGCCAAACAAGTTTCCCAGAAGAGTTTGCTCTTCTCCATCTCATTCATTAGCTCTCCGTCCTGGCCTTCATCCCTGGACTTGGCTCCTCCTGATGAAATATCCGACAGCCCATCATCCTCATCAGAACCATCGGCATTATCATCATCATCGCCAAAACCATTGAAGCTCTCGTGGACTGTATTACCATTGATGAACTCACTGCTGCATGAATCTGACGTACATGACTCGGCATCGTCGTCGTCGACGGTCGAAAATTCGTTGCCGGCGGTTGTGCCGATGGGATCACAATCAGCCTCGGAATCCCCGGTGGCCTCCACAAGGAAGAAAGAAGAAGCATCAACAACTAGCCTCCAATTCCAATCAGTCCCTGAATGAGTAGTTTGTGAGAGCTGGGAGGGAGGGTCGCCTCCAACTCCAATCCTCTTATCTACTTGCAGATTATTCATCATAAACATGTTGTTGGAAACAAATTAAAGAGCAACCTGTCGATAGGCGTTGGTCTGTAGCTGCAGCCTGCAGCCTGCAGCAAAGGTTCTATATAAATAGAAAGAGAGAGAAGGGTGGGTGTCTGTTTGGAGATTGGGTAGGCTCAAATCAACGAGCCTCAACACTTGGGTTAAAAATCTTTGATGGGTTTTAGTCCACCATTCGGGCCAACGTCTCCGTCTTCTAGATATCACAAAAAAGGAGAGTAAAAAAGAAACAAAACCAATGTGCCAACCCAACCCAAACCTCCTGGTCTTAAGGTTATGCGTTGGAATGGGACTTGTTCTCTCTCTTTCTGATCAGCTACTCCCATCCCACCCAGGACAGCATACATGCGGCTTACCCATCAAGGTCTGGAAAAGTGCCGACCGTTGGATGTAATGGCTTTGGAAATGTCTCGATCAGATGGCTGCAATCATCAGATCATGAAGCTTTGGTATGAGGGAATAGGATGGGAATTTGGGATCTATTCCTACATCCACAAAACCACAATTCCACCATTTGATAAAGTGAGTAGTCACATGGGGCTTTCAATTCATGGTTTCATTCATATTCTCTCCTCCTTAACACCATGTAATTGGTGGGTGGGGGCCCAACAGTCAAGTCTTGGGGTTTGGGCCACTGCAGTGCAGTGCAGGCTCAACCATCGATGTACAGGCCCTAAGCCTATAATGCTATTAGTAGGCTGTACTCCTCCTTACCCAAATACCAAATAGTTAATTCAATTGTAGTCCTCAATTCGCTCAACATGGCCCACCCACTACCAAATCGATCCGGACCGTTAATTTGGAAGCCCAAGATATATATATATATATATATATATATATATATATATATATATATATATATATTACTTTCACATGGGTCAAACAAGGAGGGCCCTTCCAGATTTGGGCTAACCAATTGACTGGACTGGTTATGGAAGTGGATGGCCCATGTGCGTGCGTGAACCTGTTCTCATCAATCTTGGGACCCACCAAGCTTCTAGAAGATTTGACCGATGGGTTATCATATCTTATATAGTTATCCAGTTCATTGTGCGACGGAGGATCTCCATCACAAAAAAAAACTGAAAAAAAAAAAGTGAGAAACGGGTACAAAGCTGCAAACAAGGGGCTTTGCTTTTATCGAAACGTCAGCGTTTCGTAAAATTACAGACGCACGATATTGGCCTGTCTCAGGTTTTCAGTGAGAGTCCACATCTCATTGTGGCTATGTCATCACTTTTTTATAGCCACGTGTCTTATCAGATGGTGACATAACCTTCACAACAACTTTGGATCTGCATCGGATTGGCCCAATTCCTCGTCCCTACCGGGTTGACCCGGTCGGATCCAGTACCCATCTGAGAGATGGGAAGCTTTTGTCTCAAGTAAACAGCAGTAAAAAAAATGGAATACTCTTGTGGGTCTCTGAATTCTCTCCCCTAAACGGGTCCACTAGCAAACCCGTGCCCATTATTAAATTGGTTTTCTTAGTGATTACTCATGGTTAAGTTAACCATGGAGAAAGTTTTAAAATGGTGAATTCTCTTCTCAGGATTGTCTGTCTCAGTAGCGAGATAATAACTCTCTCTCTCATTCTCATTCTCATTCTCATTCTCATTGGTAGGTGGCTGATGATTGATTAAGCAGGAGACCATTAACCACGTGAAGCTTCAAAAAGCATCACATGGCAAACAAACAAAACCCAAACTGTAGCCATGAACCATTGACTGTTACCTAACAGTCCTTTAATTTGCCTATTACTACTCTTCCCAAGTCCCAACCTCTCCTAATTCATAAATATGGATAGATGGGCTTTAATTCAACATCAACATCCATAGAAAAGGGCATAGATCTTTAAATATTCTACACATGCAGCTTATTCACCAACTAATATCTAATTCATGTAGTAGTTCTTCCAATTCTGCACTGCTTCACTTAACCAAACCTTCATAATGCATCTCAAGTTAGCACTAAGTATAAATAACACACCTTAATAGTTTGTTTAGAGTAAAATATTGCAACCAATAATGAATTAATTTATGTTTGAACTCTTAACTTACCAAAAATCCAATGCATTATTTATGCACATGAATCATTACTTTATTGGCCATAACAAATAAATATAAAAAAATTATTAAATAATATATTTATCTTGCATAATTTTGAATTTTATTAAAATATATTTTGACAGCTCTGTTTAAGTAGTTCGAACCAGTAGAGAGTAAGGGAGAAAGAAGAAGAAGAAGAAGAACAGTCGAATCTGATAGCATAAACCCTATCAGTCGATCCTAATATGGATTAGCCTATAATTAGTTGTACAAAGACTAAACTGCCCCCACTTAAGTATGGGATAGGAAGTCTTTATTAAAACTGCCACATAAGTACATAACTTAATAGAAATAAAATGACTAATCTACCCTTATTCGGCTAGCTCTAATACTCCCCCTCAAGCTGGAGAATATATGTCATATAATCCCAGCTTGTTACATATATAGTTCACTCTCCCTAAGCTTAAGCCTTTTGTAAACAAATATGCCCATTGATCACCTGAGCCCACATGTTCTATGCTTATCTCTCTAGTAAGGACCTTCTCCCTCACAAAGTGGCAATCAATCTCTATGTGCTTTGTTCTCTCATGAAAAACAGGGTTRGATGAGATGTGGAGTGCAGCTTGATTGTCACAGTACAATTTCATAGGTCTATCCATGGAGAACTCGATTTCTTGTAGGAGATTCCTCAGCCATATTAATTCACATGTAGTGTGTGCCAAGGCTCTGTATTCGGCTTCAGCACTGCTCCTTGCCACAACCATCTGCTTCTTACTCTTCCATGTCACAAGATTTCCTTCAAGAAATGTGCAGTAACTTGTAGTAGATCTTCTATCAGACACAGAGCCTGCCCAATCTGCATCTGTATACCCAATTACCTCAAGTCTTCCTCCTGATTTGTACAATAACCTATGGCCTGGAGCTCCCTTCAGGTACCTTACAATTTTAAGAACTGCATCCCAATGAGGTATCTAAGGGTTCTGCATAAATTGGCTCACCACACTGACTGCAAAGGAGATGTCTGGTCTCGTGACAGTCAAATAGTTCAGCTTCCCCACTAACCGTCTATACCTTCCAAGATCATCAAATATTTCCCCTGTATCACTGCTCAACTTAGCATTTGGCTCCATGGGAGTTTCAATTGGTTTTGCACCTAATAATCTTGTTTCATCTAGCAGATCAAGAATATATTTTCTTTGGCACATGTTTACACCTTGTTTTGATCTACCAACTTCTATACCTAAGAAATACTTCAATGTCCCAAGGTCTTTTGTTTGAAAATGGTTATGCAAAAAGACCTTTAGTTTATCGATCCCCAATTTGTCACTACCAGTTATGACAATATCATCCACATAGACCACTAGTAAAATCTTTCCGGCTTATGAATCATAGTTGAACACCAAGTGGTCAACCTAGCATTGTTTCATTCCAAAATTCTTCACCACTTTACTAAACTTCTCAAACCAAACACGAGGCGATTGTTTCAACCCATAAATTACCTTTATCAATCTGCACATCTTACCATCATTCCCCTGAGCAATAAGCCCAGGTGGTTTCTCTATATATACCTCCTCCATAAGATCACCATGAAGGAAGGCATTTTTAATGTCAAGTTGAAACAAGGGCCAACCATACATAACTACCAATGAAATTAAGACACGGACAGAGCCAATCTTAGCCACTAGAGAGAAGGTCTCCATATAGTCCACCCCATACAACTGTGAATAACCTTTAGCAACAAGTCTGGCCTTCAAACACCCCACACTACCATCCAACAAGTATTTAACAGTATACACCCATTTACAACCCACAACATGCTTACCGGGAGGAAGAGTAGTGAGCTCTCACGTTTGAGTATGCTGAAGGGCAGAGAGTTCCTCCTCCATTGCCTGCCGCCACCCAGGTGAGCTAAGAGCCTCTTGGACATTCTTAGGTATAGAAATAGATTACAATAGTGAAACAATCTAGCGATGTGAAGCAAAAAGGCGAGAGACTGAAACAAAATTGGAAATGGGATGGAGGGTACAAATACATTTACCTTTTCGTAAAGCAATGGAAAGATCAAGTCCTGAAGGTTCTAGGATAGGAGCAACAACAGGATCTGTAGACAAGGTAGAAGCTGGAGGAGGAGCCTGTCTATCGATGAGTATACACGTGCTGGATCGGTGGTCATTCAGTAGGGATCTGCACTGGAGGAGGTGAAGGGTCAAGTCCAACTGGAACAACCAAAACGKGATCATTGACTAGAAGAGGAAGAGGAAGCAAAGGTGGAGACACCGATGCTTCAGGTCCCGAGAAGAAGGGGACAGACTCATAAAAGGTGACATCAAGACAGACATAGCACTTTCGAGTAATGGGATTGTAACACTTGTACCCTTTTTGAGTTCGAGAGTAGCTAAGAAAGACATACTTAATAGAGAGTGCATCCAGGTTGTTTATCCCATGAATCAGATTGTGAACAAAGCACATACAACCAAAGATGCAGGGTGTTAATGGAAAGGGAGACAAGGTGGGGAACAAAATAGAAAAGGGAGACCGACCATGAAGGATGAAGAAGGGCATCCGATTAATAAGAAAACACATAGTAAGTACAACATCACTCCAAAACCATTTAGGAACACTCATATGATGAAGAATAGACCGAGCAGTTTCAAGGAGATGACGGTTCTTTCGTTCAGCTACCCCATTTTGTTGAGGAGTCGATGCACATGAAGTTTGATGAATGATGCCATGTTGTTCTAAATACTGTTGAAAGGAAGTAAGAAAGTATTCACGATTGTTATCTGAATGAAGAACTTTGATTGAAATACCAAATTGTGTACGTATTTCAGCATGAAATTTTTGAAAAATGGAAATAATTCACTCATTTCTTTCATTAAATAAATCCATGTCATCACTGAACAATCATCAATAAAAGTGACAAAATACTTGTAACCATTATAAGACTCTATTTTAATCAGACCCCAAACATCTAAATGAACCAAAGCAAAAGGACTTAACATATGACTTTCAACTCTAGGACTGAAGGGAACACGATGATGTTTCCCATACTGACACGACTCACACTATAAAGACAACAAATGACTCAAAGACGGAACCAGTATCTTTAGTGCCTTGAGAGATGGATGTCACAGTCGATAATGCTACTGTAGAGGAGTGAGTGAAGTCTGAAATGTAACTGACGATCCACCACCGTCAAGGTAATACAATCCACCAGCCTCATGCCCCCCACCAATCTTCTTCCYMGTCTTGAGATCCTGAAAAACACAAAAGGAA